GATACAGAAGAATCTATAGAAAAGGATAGATAGAGATATCTATAGAGATATAGTTATATGGAGATAGTTAATTATATATATATATATATATATGTGTGTGTGTGTGTGTGTGTGCGTGTGTGTGTGTGTGCGTGTGTGTGTGAGTGAGTGCGTGTGTGTGTGTGCGTGTGTAGAAAAAGAGAGACAGAGACAGAGAGAATTTGGATTGACAGCCTCGTTGAAAAATATACTTTCATGTTCTTTCTTAGCGATTTCATTCTGCCTTTAATTTCTGTTTCTTAACTGCATTGATTATAACTTTTCTTTTCATATATCTATGATATTTCTAGACCGTACTTATTCTTTGTTATAATCTCCCTCACCATTTGTACCAATAAATATCTTTTGTCAAGTTCCTTTTCTGAATTCTTTCTCTTCCTTGAGTTGAAGTACTCAGTTTAATAATTCATAACTTTCTCTAATTAGAATTTTCCACCTCAAAGGTGGACGCATAATGTATAATTGCTTGCTATTATTCCTTTTCTTACGTTTTTTTTTTTTTTTTTTTTTTTTTTACTCTGGATAAATTTTCCTTGTGTTATACACTCGGGTATCCTCATATCAAAAATGCATTTATGCAAATAACGAGCTAACATTTCATGAATCGCCGTAAAAAGTATTTTAACTTTTTCGTGTATTCATCTTTCTCTCTCTCTCTCTCTCCCTCTCTCTCTCTCACACACACACACACACACACACACACACACACACACACACACACACACACACACATATATATATATATATATATATATATATATATATATGCTTATGGTCGACATGGCTTCAAATTCCCGTAGATCTTTCAGTCTTGTCAAATTCTCCGGTCTATATTTTATTTGCTCTTGCATTCTTATCATCTCCACCAAATCCTCTGGTTTTCGTAACTGTTTTTCATATTTCTCGTTTAACTTAACTGAGGAATTGTTATTGTGCAACATCCTATTTTGTGTTGATAAAAGCTACCTACCTTCTTCGCTGAAACCTTGACTTCTATTTGAGTAGATTCCTTTCATTTTTTTTTTTATAAATTTTATATTCTCAGTGCATTATGTACACGACACTACTAAAAAGAACTCCTACGCTACTGGTAATAATTATTAGCTGACAATGGAGATCAAGTGACATAATTTTTTGTTGGCAGTTTTAAGACAAATAATTGGAAATCAAAGAAGGATATATTTAAAACGTACAGATCACCAACTTATTTAGTAACATGGCTTTTATCATTAATGCTTCAAAGTATCTTTTAAATTTGAATTTATTTTGCTATTTTTGAAATTCCATTTTACAGTTTAAAATCGCCAGTTATTACTTTTCTTCCTTATTCTTGAATTTTACAGATTTTAAATTTTCCTTTTTTATATCGTTCTTTTTCTTATATTTCTTACTGCCATTAGAATGTTATTGATTTCGTTAAAAAATTCCAGATGACTTCTAATTGATATGTCAACTGAAAGTACATTTTCAAACTCAAACGTTTTACCACTTCAAGTGCTTCATTAATTTATGCGTACGTATAGTAGTAGTGAATAAATTCTGGTGAATATAAAGTCAAAACATGGCTTCTAAAATCTACTTTTTTTTCACTATTCTTGAGCATTCCAACAATGCTTTTGCTTGAAGATGTCCCAGCAGAAATGCTGACATTAACTAGACTGTTTCAGTATGTGGCCATTACTATGCTGCCAGGTTCCACGTCCAAACAAATAGATATGAATAGCCTGATAATGATATCTGAGAATAGCAATAAATTGATACTGGTAAATAGCAAATATTAATGAATCGATATAGACATGAATAAATCGAAATAAATATGAATGAAGTGATATCAATAGATAGAAACTGGGTGAAATTATCATCAATAACATATCAATTTTTTTCTGTAGATAGGACATAGAAGCTGATTATTTTTATTTAGATTTTTTTTATATTTCACAACCATAGACAAAGAGAGTTTGATGAACATAAAACTGTTGATAATTTTTCCTTATTTATTATTTATTTGTCTCCCACCTTATCATTTAGCTGAGGTAAGGGGTTTTCCAGATTGAGCGGGAGGCGAATATTTATACCAATGTCTTATTTTAAGCAGTCAAATGGTGAGACTATTTGCGCGTGGGTATGTATGTACATTACATGGCATAATCACATTTAAGTCATTCACGCACAACAGATATATACATATGCATTACATGCGAGCATGCAAAGTCACACGCAGTGTATGACGAACAGTGAATCAGCTCTTCTTTTATAATATGGATTTATTTTAATTTCACACACACGCACAAACACACACACAAACACACACACGCATACATATATATATATATATATATATATATATATATATAAACTGAGCTGAAAGATACTCATGCGTCGAAAACGAAGGGATAGTCCATCAATCCGTCATTATATATATATATATATATATATATATATATATATATATATATATATATATATATATATAATTTCATATATATAAATATTGTTATTAATTGTAAGAGTGATACAAAATTTAAATATTGTGAAGCAATTCCTAACGTTATCGAAGGCGAAACAGATGAACAGAGATAATCGGACAATTTAAAATATGAAAACATTAGCAAGATGAGGAAAAAATTTAAAAAAATAAATACTAGCTTTAAGAATGTCACTAAAAGATTTGAGAAAAATAAAAAGTTTAATAAACAATAAATTTTGCTTGGCTAATAAGAAATATTTTAAGAATTGGGTGTTGCAACTGAAAACAGAGAAAAGATACCAAATATTAATAACTTTGGTAAGCAAGCAAGCTACTACATGAAAGTAATCATGAATAGAACCGTTATACGCTCCGACCTTCTTTGGAATTTCGAACCGAACCCTTTTAGTCCACTTGGGTAGAATTTTTTTTTTAATTCCACATGCCATGCCCTTTTTGGCATCCCTGTTTCAGTTAAGTAACTCAACTCTCCAAGTTTTCGTTCCTTCTGCTGTGTATCGAAGATTCAACACTTTGGGTCATCTCACTTTTTGAATTACTTCAACCAATGTTTTATCCACTGGGCCATATGCCCTTGGGAGTTAATTTGGGGATTTATAAACCTAATATATCAGTAATTATCTTTTTTACCAGAGCTCATATTACATTTTTTTTGTTATTGTTGTTTTTCTCTAGGTCTGTATTGTATTCCCATATTGTATTCATGTATATGATTGGTCGCCGTAGGAGATTTTTGTAGCCTAGCATATGCACTGACCCTTTAAGTTTTTGAATTTTCCAGTGATGTTCTGTCTATTATTTCAACTTCATCCTACAGAGGCCGGGGATCTCCCTCTTTCCTCCATATATTGTCAGCTATGGTGATTTTTCTATTTGCCATCGTGTAACGGATTTACGGTGTTCCTGCAATCTTATCTTAATAGGACGGCTTGTTTCTCCGTTATATTTCTTACCAATTCAGCACGTCGTGAATATGGAAATAAAGATGAGGACAACAGTCAGAATAATGTAAAATATGTAAATAATTACAATACCAGAAATGGCTAAATTAGGAAAAAAGTACCAATTTTCCGATAGTATTTTTAATGATGAATGCAGAGCTATACTGGAGGGGCTGATGGCTGAATTAGAAGTTGGTTCCATCATAGAAATAATCAAATAACACGACTTAGAGGCCAAGGGGTTGAGTAATGTTTTGGGGCGTGTACTGCATCCGCTAAAGTCTTCGATACCTTCAAAATTGATGTTATCAAATCCAGATAATTATTTTAGATTCTTATACACGACGATTTTAAGATGGTACACTCAAATAATCAAAAGCTTTTAAGTTATAAGGGATATTAATGCAAGACAATGCTCATTCATTCTAAATTGACAACCTTCTTAAAAATATTAGTCAAACAGAAAAATTGAGGTCAATCATTAACAGAGATGTGACCACGGAAAATTATATTCAAACAACGAAAAAGAATGAAAAGCTGTTGCACGTTAAAGTCAAACCAGAATAAGACGTAACGAAGTCAAGTAATGGAAGTCTGTTATAGGTCATAAAATATCGATGAGACCATGTTGTCTTGTGAAGTAAAATAAGTTAAATTATATGAAATATTACATTAATAAATCACATACTTGTGCGGCTTATATCATTTGAATTTCTTTATAAATAAAAGCTGATAATGCGTTCTGCATAAGAAAACCTGACATGAAAAACAATTTATCAATACATTTAAAAAGGATAGATATCATAAGCTGAAATTTGAATGATAATTGTCCTAGAAATGAAAGGAATGCACTGTAAGAAGAGACACAAGAGAGAGAGAGAGAGGCTGAGAGAGAAAGTATCTATTGATATGAATATCAGGAAAAACGCAAGTAAAATTGATAAAATATGAAATAAAAACACGTATCTAGATGATAAATATTTGATTAGCAAGCTAATGACGTTGTTATGCTTTTACTCAGTCGATTAGTATCAATTTTATTGTGATGTCATTGATTCGCATAATAAACTCTGACAGTGTATTATTTAACTTTTCTCGAAATAAAATAATAATGGAAAACAATATTTATAACCATACAGACTTGAATAAGTGAACAAGCATTAGACAAATTTTGTTACTGCATTGAAACTGTTTTTCTCACACATGCGCGCGCGTGTGTGTGTGTGTGTGTGTGTGTGTGTGTGTGTGTGTTATGTTTGATAATAGAATGCGGAAGGTACTGAAATAGTGTAAAAGAAAATACTTTTAAAATCAGTGTATGGACCATGGAAGACGTAGGAAACTATAAACAAAAGACAACAGTATGATTTAAAACGCAGATTAGTTTTTACGATGATGTGAAAATGAGTTGGCTGTTGGTTTAAAGAAGGAATAGAATAGTTCATTTCGGAAGTGAATCCTAATTTGGAAGTTGCTTATATTTCAGAGTCCCTTATCAAGCAAATATCGTTAATTCTTGCTAAAACGTTCAG